GTGGTGGTCCTCTTGTTAATGTTGATGGAGAAATTGTTGGCATCAATATAATGAAAGTCATAATAGCAGATGGGTTGAGTTTTGTGGTACCAATTGACTTGGTTATCAAAATCATAGAGCACTTCAAGAAGAGTGGGTATATTCTGATTTTCTGTGTGGAACTATTTAGGTGCCTAGATACATATGCATTGCATACGTATATAATATGATATTCGGAGCATTTTTGGTTGATGGAATGGTTATTCCTTGGTCAAAATATAAAATGAGGTAAGTTAGATGGAGACCCTAGCCAATTAGGAATGCCAATTCCATGCTTTTACACCTTTTTTAAGTAAGTTGGAAGGAGGAAGAAATAGCTAATCACATCTCCCCCAAGGTTTTATCTATTTCTTCTTTACACTCATTAAAAGAAAAAATTGGTGCAAGCACGGAATAGCTGCTCCTAATGTGTTGTGCTCTCTATCTAATTTACCTTACTGAAGGAAGATATTACTATTTTGATGAACCTTTTGAAAATTTATTACCTTTAAGAACATATTTGAAAATTATGTTGTGATGGTGGGTTGTTTAAGAGTGATGATGAAACTTCAAGGTCTTAAATCAACCAGCATATTGAGATATAAAATTATTAATATTGAAAATTTACACGTATTCGAAGTTTTTTATTTAACATCAGATCATCCATAAATGAGATGTCAAACCACAGAAGGCCATGTTGTACAGGAGAGTTGTTCAGCCTTGGCTTTGATTTAAAATGCTCGATCTTAATGTCAAGATCGTTGCTCAACTCAAAGAGGGAGATGTCACATTTCCTAACGTCAAAAAAGGTGTCCTTGTAGCTATGGTATGTTTTCTTCCCATTTTGTTGTGTTTCTGACATTCTGTATATGCCAATATGGTGTTAATGATCTTGTTCCCAACCATTTAAATATTTACAGGAGTCTCTGTGCCCTGTCACTTTTCATACTAACTTGCTCCAAATTATGTCCAGGTGACTCCCGGATCTCCTGCTGATCGTGCTGGATTCCATCCTGGTGATGTGGTCATTGAATTTGATGGAAAGCCAGTTGAATCTATCAAGGAGGTATTCAACCATTTTTCTTTCTTTCTGTTTCATGGTTTTGCTGGGGGAGAGGTTTTGGCTTGTAGATTTTGCTTGGAAGACCTTTTGCGTCCATGACCTGGTTGCATGGTTTAAATTTACAAAAATTGTGGTACAGAATCAAAATAGCCTAAAAACGTAGACATAAAATTATTCTATCAGAATGCATTCTCATTGGGAAATCTACATGAACTGTTCTTGCTGAGGTTTTTACCACTGAATCTGTGGCAGATCATTGAGATAATGAGTGACAGAATTGGAAAAGCGATAGAGGTGGTTGTGAAAAGAGCAAATGATGAAACGGCCATTTTAACAGTAATTCCAGAGGAAGCCAATCCAGATATGTGAGATGCTACAGTTCTGTTTCAGGTTTTCTGTTGGTGTGTATCATATTTATTGCTTGTATTATATTTCCATATTTTTGAATCTTTGATTTTTCAGATCTACATAGATGATGAATAAAAATCTCCAAGAAGAACCATTGTAAATTATAAACCAAAGTACCAAACAAAACCAGTTGGACTAAAAGCCTAAAACCACAAAATTTTAAGGTTTTTGCTTTATCATTAGATCAAGGCTTTCTGTCATGTCAAGTAGCTAACCCTTCAATGTACTAAAAAATTAAATAAGGCTTGACTAGTATTATGATATCATCTTGGACCATTGCTTTATCATTGAAAAGGTTTTTATTGCAATTTCTTGATCGTCTACTGACCGCAGATTAGAAACAAAGAGAGCTAACTCTTCAACATAGCTCCTTATTCATCTAATGCACTAGGCCAATTTTACAAAAGAAATACACTGTTGCTGTTTCCCATTTATCAGTCGTCAATTGCTCCGCATGTGCTTCAGTTGTTTCCCATTCGAAACTACAAAAAACTACCCCTATAACTTCTAGGGGCAGTTAAATGGGTGGTAATTTAGAGTTTGGATGCAAGGAAAGGAGGAAGCTTGGACTGACTCTACGATAAAAGAATCCATCATGCAATTTTCAAATCCTCTGCATTTTCCAATCTAGAAGGTAATCAAATTGAATTTGAAAGTGGGTTTTTGAATTTGATATATGGGTTTTGAATTTTGATTGCTGATCTCTGTTCTTCATGGTGACCCATTCCCCTTGCTTCATCTACTCTCTTCACCACCACAAACCACCCGATCACCATCAACCCTAAACTTTAGATCATGGAGAAAGAGAGCTAAAGTTCAAGACGCATGAGGAAGCGAACCAAGGGAATCAGAGAAGAGATTGAAAGACAAAAAACAACAGGTCATTAAAGAGCAACCAACGATTAGAACTGAAGCCATTGGGTGTGAGGTTAGAGTAGAGATCAAAAGGATTAGAAAACTATTTTCTCCCCACCATTTCTGAAGGATGAGATTGGTTCTTATCCCTTGAACTGCAGGATCAGAAGTTTACAACATATGCCTGAATGGGTATGCACATATCAGTCGTTTCAATTCCTTTTTATTTCCCCTTTCATTGAAAATACTAATTAAAGATCCGTTCATGGCTTTGTCTAACCAAAATTGAAATCTTTAGCTGCCTAAGATGCTTATGAAAAGAGTCCCATGTACATACCCTAAAAAAGCCTAGAGCAAGTGTAGTAAATTAAGCGACTTTAACATGTTTCTTTCAATTTTAGATATATTTGATGCATGGTGGATGATGATTTTTTTTGTTGGTTTGTCTTGGGTGTTATGGTTATTTGGATTTTGGAAGCTTGAGTAAAAAACGCTTATAATTTGGAGTGTGAGAAAAATTAAAAGTAAAGAAAGATCCAAAATTATGTATCTAAAATGGATTACTGAATTACTGTTGCAGTGTTACGTATATCTTAGATTGATGGTTCTGTGTTTTTTTTTTTCTTATTCCATATACAGTTTTTTGACATAAATGCTAATGGGATTCACAGAATTTAAATCCTGTAAGTTTATTTTTTTAATTTAATTCAAAAATTAATTTTGTAGATACATGAATATGAAAGGATTACTTCCATTATTCCATAGTTTATAATACAAAGGTGGAAATGCAAAGTTTAACTTAGAGGATTGTCTAAATGATGAAGAATGAAAATTTGCTTCCCTCAGAAGGTGGACTCATCATCCTCTCTCAAGTAAGGGATTCTCGGTATTTGGAATTTTTAGAGTTGTAATGGGATCTATTTGGCTAAACTTTTAGTCATAATTTCGATTTTCTAAAGTAGAAGATCTCAAAGGATATTAGAGATTAATAACCGTAGATGGTTTTCTGATTTCTATAGTTTGAGATTGAGTATGGGCCAAAGAGTACATCATGTTCTGGTCATGCATAATTTATTGGGCAACAAAAATGGTTGTGGAACTAGATATTGGAGTCTCGTGGGTGATGTGCAGGGAAGATGATGTCGTAGGTCCTGTGGGGAGCTATCTTTCTTATTCATTCTTCTTGATAGAGTTGTCTTCATTTATCATTTACTTTAAACTAAATTATGTTTTGTGTTTGTTGAATTCTGATGTTGTCTCAAGCAAAGATGAAGTGCTTAAGCTGAAGCCTGAAGGATTAATCAGCAATATACTATGAGTGTAAAAGATGATGCTTTTGAGTTTCTCATTTAAAATAGTTGTAAGAAGTCTACCTAAGCTTTTAAAAGACAATGAGACGCCCATAGCTTACCATGTCAGCTTTTTTTTTGGATTATGTTCATTGGCTTACTTGAACATTTCATGAAGTAGTAGTAACTGGGGAAAAGAGCATAATAGAATTCTATTTATATTTGTGCTTTTATTGCAGTTTGTTTTAGCTAATATTTGTTTGTAATTGAAGGATGTAACTGTTAGTGCTTTCTAGCAATTGAAGTCATGGCTTAATTGGAAAAAACATTTTCCAAGCTTATAGATTGGCGAACAAAAATTCCCAAACTAATGTCAGTGAGTCTCCTAATCATAATTTTTCTACTATAACTGACAGTTTCTTTTTTCATTCTATTTCTAAATGCAAACTCTATAATTGTTGCAGGAATAAGGGATAGATAGACTCAAAGGCCAAAAAAATTAAAGGATAGATAGATTGGAAGGGGAGTAGCAACTATAGAAGAAACAATTGAACATAATGAGGCACGATAAAAGATGTTTTAATAACAATGACAGTTTTTTATGAGAGTATTGTCTCAATACTTTCATATTTTAAAGAGTTTGATAGCAAATGTTTATAAGAGAAAGTGAAAACACAACACTTGGCACTCTATGCAAAAGGAACTGCTACAAAGGGAATTGAGTAATAAATTTAAATTAATAATTAATATAGTCTTTTTTTTTTCCTTTTTACATTTTTTTACTCTTTTGTGAGAGAGAAAAGGGAGAGGGTGAGGAATGATATTCAGATTTGATTTACTTGCCTCATGTAAATAGCCATGAATACTCATATGATAGAGAATATTTCCTTAAGTTTTCCATTTTCTGTTGAATACATTGTCTCTATGGTCTGGTAAGCATGTTTCTACAATGTTTTAGCTAACTTTGTTTCATATCTGCTCATCAATCATTGTCCTACTAACAACAATTGATTTTGGCCCGCAGGATGCTAACCTTATAATGCTTGCATTAGCACTACATGAAGTACATTTTTCAATTCTAAGGGAGGTAAATATGAGAATACCTTTAATCCATTATTTCTATTTTGTTTTTTTGGTAAATTTGTACCTT